CTTCTACTCGAAATGGAAGTAATCCCAGCAATTATGAAACAAGAGATTCCTCGAAACCCAACTTTTCTTCGTATATAAGAGATCAACACTCATGGATATAGGTCGTAGGTGCTTGTTCAATTTCTGATTATGCCAATTCACGAAACCCTTCTTGAGAAGAAAAGTCGAGACATATTTGTCTGTAGGCTTGTATAGCCTATTTTTCCCATCTGCTTCTTCCTTTGTCAGTTGAGATGTCGAAAAGTGTTTATGCTCGATGGTCATTTCATCACTTTTTCGATGTAGCCCTATGCTCTACTCGATGTTACCGGTTTGTTTGCGTCTCCTTCTGACTAGGTCTCCATCCCCCAATCCAACAACATGTATCAGCCTCACTTTGTGCCTATTTAGTTTGCGCGCGTGTCAACAAAAGTTTAAATACACTTTTCTGGCTCTTTGCTCGTGACATGCTCGAAGATGTTTGCTTTATTCTTTCACAGTTCCCCATACAACTGTCAGTAGTTGCTCTCTTGTCCGAGGTGAGTTGCGTCCGCTCTGCGCGTGTCATTTGCAATCTTGTCGACTTGTAGCTCTTTTATATCACCTTGGAAGTGCATAATTAACCGGTGACCATCAGTGTAGAACAGGCCCGACAGCACTGCAAGCATGACGGCATGTCTACATCAACAGTATGGGGTGGACGTATGATCTTGTGCCTCTTTGCTTGTGTCTGCTTGCATTTATACATATATATATATATATATATATGTGTGTGTGTGTGTGTATGTGTCTTTTGGTATGGTGATTAAGTCATGAGCCAGTATCAAACAACCTAGGCTGTGCTAAACCCAGCCCAGGCAGATGGTGCTGCATTCTCACTGCAGACCGATCGATATTAGCCTGAGCACATGGTCCAGGCACTCCGGTTGTATAGGTCTGATGGGTCTGGTGTCGGATAGATCGGCCACACTCATGGCGCCAACCCTCGGAGAAGATGTGACAGACTTGGAGGTGAAATGGGGAGCCAGTTTTCGGTAGACCCGGCTAGTTCAGCCTCCAGCCGATGCATGGGAAATGCCCGAGAAGAGGAGACCTTCAATGACCTCGTTGGGTTGTCATTTTTCGACATTTCGACAAACAGCTGATTAGACTCCATCCAGACTTCAGGTTTCTGTCATTTCATCACTCCAGCCTGGGCGAGATGAGCAAAGCGAGTACCGTTGTGGGGAAGGTCATTTCGTGACAGAGTGCTAAAAGTAGGGATTCACGTACAGTTTGAGTAGAAATTGCATTTCTTGGGAAACGTCGGGTTAAAGAAATTATTTTAATTGGCCTATAATCGGAAACCGAGGGAGATTTATCGCTAATGGAAACTGTTTGAGTGTTCATACAAGTCCTCGGCTCAGCCTCCTGAATCGTCGTCTCTATCATCTGGACCCAGCCAATGAGATATGCCTCTGTAGTTCGGTTGAAAAGGGACTGAGGACGAGGCCTCATGAGATTTGGACCCAATTCTTGCTAATAGGAAGATTTGATTATTCTTTTGCATGCTAACCTACATTCCGTTCTAGTAATTATGTGCATGTGTGTGTGTGTGTGTG